GTTTATGAGCCAAGTACATGAAAACCCCCAGCTGCCAGTAGGACTCACTCATGTTCTATGTTGCTCAGCTGTAGAAAGCTCAGTGTTGGCTCAGGCAAGCTGATGCTTGAGGTAAATGTTCTTCCTCAAGAATAAGTCTTTCCCTCATGCCTTGAAAGAAGACCTTACTTGAACTTCTTGTCTTTATTAGTGTTGTGGGCATAAATGAAATGCGTTTGGGAATGCTGGGTCTCCACTGTGGGGGGTGAGAGACAGCTCCGGAGCATTTTAATTCTGGCTCTTAAACCATTTTGAACAGAAACGCTTTATATACACATAGCCTAGTGTTCCTGGAGAGGAAATGTGCTCTCTTTGAGTATTAACTCTACAGGGAAAAGGTATTTTGAAATCTAAGACAAAAAAAGAAATTTCTTCAAGAAAACAGGACTGTTTGAGATGGGAGGAGATGCCATCCCCATGTCCCAGAGTAGCGTGCCGAACATCGGGCTGCCCGTTTGCATCACTTGTATGTAATGTGCAGCATGCTGTAAATGTGCTTCCCCCTATCCTGCCCTCCTAGCTTGAGGACATTTAATTACAACTCTTTCCATAGGCTGATTATTTCTGCAAGGTGATATTATTTTTTGTCAACTGGAAGAGATGTTATTTTCATCATGGTGGGGCTGAGACTCTGTCCCATTGAGCTAGCTGAGGGCCAATGTTCTGGATTCATTCCCTCTCACAGGCAAATCCATGATCCAATGATGTAGAGTCCTCCTGGGAAGGCATTTCTGAGCGTTGTTTACTTTTGGGTGTGCATCTGCAAGCAAAGCTTAAGCTGTTAAAAATAACCCCAATGATCTGTTTCTTGCCAGAATGAATTCAAAATGTTGGGTGGGACTTTAGCTTTATGGGATCTTGCAAAATTGTACAGTTGGCTTTAATAGTCAGGCACTTCAGTCCGTGATTGCTATGTGCTCCAGTATTTTTCCTTTCGGCCAATGTTGCCCAAATGTAGTTTAACTCACCACTTAAGCTCACTTGCTCTTGTGTTTGTTTTCTGGCAAGCACTTCAAAATGTTAGTCTCCATCGAACGTCTTTATGAAAAATCTGTTAGCTTTGCTTTGGTGTAGGTTTTTTAGGAAAGGTGGATGGTAGAGGTGAAAACAATTGAGGGTGCTGAAGCCCTGGCCCAGGTTGCCCAGAGATGTAGATGCCCCATCTCTGGAAACATCCCCAGGTCAGGCTGGACGGGGCTCTGAGCAACCTGCTCGAGTTGAAGATGTCCCTGCTCACTGCAGGGGGGTTGGACTAGATGGCCTTAAAGGTCCCTTCCAGCCCAAAGATTCTATGGTTCTATATTGCGTGCCTGTAGGCAGACAACCTAGACTACTGACTTCAGCCAACAGAGATCATGTTCCTAGGCAGTGGAGAGCTGCCGGACGGGGAGTCTACCTGCTGAAGGGCTTCACTGCACTGAATCCTTGTCTGGAGGATTCCAAGAGACAGAGTACCATTTCTGTCCTCCTGCATGGTTAACTTGAAACAATCAGCCTATTTTTTAAGGCTTTGAGGTGCCCAGCTCCAGCTGATGGCACTATCTGTTTAGCACTTGTGAAAATCCAGCCTGATAACTTCTAAAAGGAGCATCTGGAATAGTGTGGAACAGAGGAAATAAAGGTGAGCATAACTGTAGGCATCTATTTCTATTACTGAAAAATACAGTTGGTATATTTTCTGTCAAGAAAAAAGCATATTTGTAAAATGTTGGATACTAGGGAAGCATAACTCAACACAGCCTCTTGAATCCTTCTCTGATGCTTTAAAGCTGTTTGTGATCTATTTATTTTGTAAAAGTAAGCAACCTACTACATGTCGGGGGGTGTGTGTGAACGATGCAGTACCTGACTGCATTTTACTGTCTGTACTTGGGAAATAGTCAGGGATATTGATTTAATATTAACTAACTACTGGGGGATCTCTTGCACTACCATTCCCAATCAAACGGATTATTGGGATTCATGGGGATCTTTAGCTGTTGGTAATAATGAATACTAATTAGCAGCATAGTATTGCACAGAGTGCCAAGCGAGGATCAGGAGCATATGTTTGCACAGCATTTAACATGTACTTTTTCTCACCCCTTCTCTAGATGCGGCTGCATCAGGTACTGCGATTACAATAACGTGGAGACGACTTTGTCCTCCAATCGAACATGCAACCAGGATGTCAGTAAGTATCTTTTTTGTTTTTCTGTTAAACCATTTAATATTGGAAATGAGGGGGAGTTGAGGGGGGGGGGGAATGTGTCTGCTAAATGGCAACTCTCTTGGCTTATTTTCGTGGTGATGAGACTTAATGAACTACAGGAAGAAATCATAATTTTGTTGGCAGCGGTAGAAGGGCAAAGCTAAAAATTGTCACATCTGATGATTATCTTTGGAGCAAAGCATAGAAAAAAAAAATCTATTAGGGATAGATATCTGGAACAGATGCAGGGAGATTATACTGATGTCTCAGAATCTTACATTTCTCTTGAAGAGTGTGTAAAGCAGCGAAAAGCTTCTTTTGTACTTTTGTAGGCAAGTGACAGTACATATTTTCCTGACTAAACCACCAAGTGCTTTGCATCGGGATCTCTTTGGCATATCTTTTTGAAAGGTATTTGTAAAATGTCATGAAACCAGATTGTGCAGAAGGCCGGCTACATTACAAAGTCAAGTAAGGTCAGAGTTGTCAAAGGGTAAAGAAATATAGAATGCATAATAATGCAGCAATGGTTCGTGAAGTGATTAATTTGTATTTTATTTTCCCCAAAGTGTCTTTACCCAAGTCTTATAAAATGCTTGCTTTTTAAATACAGTTCGGTCCTGATTTTTCATGGAGTTTAACTTGGGAGTAACCAACCCATTCACAGAAGCTAATATATACAAGAGGTGAAATCTTGTCTCCCCTGAAGCCAAGGACAAAACTCCCATTAACTTCAATGGGGCCAGGATTTCATTTACTATGTTGCCCAGTAGACCAGTGTGGAACAAAACCAGTTGCCTTGGGGATTTTTAATATGCAGCTGACTCAGTTGAACAAAAATGTTTTACTTGTCTGACATTCAGGTAAAATCAGGAATGTACTGAACCTTCTTTTGCTGACTGCATTCTGCATATCTATTAAGGTTATGCGACACACATTCTGCTCTCACTTGTGCTGGCTAAAAAGGGAGAACAAATAGGCCCAAAAATCTTTGAAAATCAGATAATTGTTAGTGAAAATTTGCTGGGGAGAAGAGTTGCAATTTTTTTCTTCCAGGTATTTTTCTTTTATGCAGGGAAAAAGAGGTAGTAAAACAATCTCCCTGGACTTTTGGTTTCCTTTAATTTTTTTTTTTTTTCTTTTAATGCAAAGAGAAAGCAGGTGCCCAGGAAAGACAGCAAAATAGCTGAAGGTGGGAATTCGAAGCTTGGAGTAGGACAGGAAGAATGTATTTCTCCAGAATCTACTACCTTATCCAGTTTTGCTTAGTGTAATTTCTTGTAACGTTTTCTTCCTGAAATGTGTTTATCCTTGTTGGTAGCAGGTCCAATTAGCCTAAAGTCCCCTGAAGCCTTCTCCAGTAATACGCCATACTTGCTGGGTGGCTCCCCTGCTGCTCAGAGCAGCCAACAAAGCCTTCTTGACTCTGGCATGTGTTTCTACTTTACAAGTTGAAAACTTAACTGATGGGTCCCCTCCACTCTGGGACTGAACAACAGAGTGGTTTAGATACAGCGGCTAGTGGGGTTGACCTTAGTGTACTCTGAACTTGGCTAAAACCAGGAGTATGCTCTGAGCTCAGTTTTAGTGAGGCACGGAGACCTGTTTGTAGGGATTTTCTTGCATATTGTTGCAAGCAGAGTAACTAATGGTTTGAGCCTTGGGCTTTATGCTGAGCTGGTCTGTATTTACATCCCCTCAAACCACACAGATGCTGTTAGTATGCCCCAGGCTTTTCCCTATGATTCCAGGAAGGACTGAATCCAAAATATTGTCTTACCGTACCTGTGTTAGATCATCAGTTGAAGACAGCTAATGAACACAACAGACTGTCTCAGCACGGGCGTTCTAAGGACCGCAGAGGACAGGTTTTGACAGTCCTCCCAGTTCACTCAGGGGCCAAATCCTGCTCCTATGTGCAGGGCTTCCTGTTTATAATTTCCCTCAACAGACTCCTCATCCTGCTAAGATGGTTGTGGAGGGTGAAATTGGCTCTGAGTGCCAACTGCTGCCTTCGCTGCTTCAACTGGCCTTAATCACTTTCTCTCTGACACCCAGATGATCAGAGGAAGAGATTATCAGCTACTTCTATTAGCCAGTGAAGTCAAAAGAAGGATTTTTACAGGAAAAACATCTGAGTTCACTACAAGAATACATAAGATAAACCACGATACTTCCTCTACTTGAATGTGTTCCTTGTTCAAGCTTGCTTAATGGATCTTTGGCAGTAAATCAAGGCTTAGGCCTGCCTGCATAAGAAACTCTTCTCTGCTTAAACTAAACTAATTATTGCTAGACTGTGCTGATACTGAATTGCAAACACACTGGAACCAATTTCAGCCTCGGGGGGTAGCTTTGGATGCCTGTTTTAAGCCAAGGCTCTTTAAACTGTTTAATATATATTTCTACTAGTAGCTAGTGCCAGTCTAACTACATGGGTTTTTGCAACAGGAGAGCAACTCTTTGCAGCTGAGCTCTTCCCTCTTAGCTCCTTCAGACATTTATCTGTGTGTAACTTGCATGCCTGAGCACCTTTTGCCACAACTAAGTGGTTGCACATCCTGAAAGGGAATAAATTCTGGTACACGAGTGCTGTGGCTTACCTTGGAAGAAAACAATCTTTTCACTTGCAGCAAAAAGCTCTTTAACAACAAGGCTCCTGCAGTGTTGGGGACTGTTGTTATGAAAATAACTTAAATAAACAGACATGTTTTGTGGCGGATTCCTTCCCCAACCCCATTAATGAGGTGCATTAGAGCAGTGACAGTACCTGCTCTGGAGTTTTTTGAGAAAGAAGAGCAATTGAACCTCCTGCCTCTTCAGTAGGATAGTCAGGAAACTTGCCTATGATATGCCTGTGTGAGAAACAAAAGATGGAAGAGGAATTAAAATCCATAATTTTTCATCTGGTTGACAAAGATGCTAGATGGTGGGGAAGCATGCCCTCCCTCACCTCCTGTTCAAAAACAGAGTGCTGTATTCCCTCCTATGACAGTGGCTTCTTGTCCAGTTACTTCATTAATGGTGACTAACCCACGTCTCTTGTCTCAGCAAACACTGAAAGTCCTCAGGGAATTTCTCAGGACTGCACATCACAGCTGAGAGACTTAGCTTAAAGTGTTTATGTTTACAGCTCTGCTCTCTGCTTTCAAAGTCTAGCTTTTTAAAAAATTCATCTTATTTAAATCAGTTTTTGACCTACAAATTCCAGATTGTATTTTTGTGTGAGGATCTTGCCCTTAAAAGTTTCCAGCGTGCTTGCACAACTAGGTGGTGATGGAAGCTACGGAGGGGGCTATGAGGGGCTTTGTGGTAAAGTTTCATGGATAAGATCGGGTGCTTCCAGGCCTTTCAGAATGAGATTGAAAGACAGAGGTAATAATTACAATCTAAAGGCCATTTATATCGATAAGAATGTTCTACTTCTTTCACTTTTGTGGCTTTTTGGATTCTATCAGTAAGACTTTTTGCTTGTTTGGTAATACTGGGAAGATTTTTCCACTCCAAAGAAAATTCTGACACTTCAGAAAAACCCTTGTGCTACTTTCAAACAGAATGGTAATGTTTCCTCTAAATGAAATGAAATTTCCTTTGAGAAAAAAATAGCTGAGAAAGGTCAACGTGATTCATAAAAACGGCTTTAAATATTTTTTTAAAACAACTGGTACCTTAAGGAATTTTCCTAGACTTACTGCTAAGCAGTAGACTCAATTTTAAACTGAGACCCTTGGAACAAGCATCAGTTATGTTCCTATAGTACCACCTGATCCTAGCTAGTATTAATGTAATACACATTACAAAAGAATAAACAAACTTTCTACTGTGATTGTATCTCTGACTTGCCTGTTCAACAATTACTAGTTCTATATGCAAACAGATGCAAAACTTTGCTCACTGCATTCCCAGAAACCAGTTTGCATGAACAAAGGGACATCATTGTTAGTGTATTTCCCCCCCCCCCCTTTTTTTTTTTAAAAATCTAGGAAGAATGGGATTTTGGCCTCAAACCTGCATCATCTAGTTTATTTAATGTTAGATCGTGTTTCATTTTTTACAAACAGCCAGAAAATAGCTCAATTTTATGTTAAATGCAATCTTGTTTTAAATGCTGCTACAAGCTTGGCTTACAGCAACAAATTTCTCAAAATCTGGTATTAAGGCTGTTGCTACTTGACTAATGCCAGCTGGGAGGAAGGAAAAGCAATATCCACTGCGGGTGAAGAATCAGTTTGGAGTCCACCGCCCACTGAATATGTTATCAGTGCCAGCTTTCAATATTTATTAGTGTTACATTCGGTATTTGCATTAGCTTTTTTGCTTTTAAATCATTTACAGCTCTTGGAGACGGAAGTATTTACTCTTGGGGTGTGTATGATGAGCGTATCTCCGAGTGCTGTAGAAATGTTATCAAATTCTGAAATTTGGAAGTGGGTTCCGGTTTGTTTATAATCTGTATTTTCTGTGTGATTCTTCTGCTCACAGCTGGTGTAGCTGTTTGGGATGAGGTGGCTCATCTCCTCTTTTTGTAGCAGCTACAGCAAGTGCTTATGTTGCAAAATAATTTGAGGTGAGGAGAAGGCAATGCCAATCTTTTGACACAAGTAGAAGAAAAGTGGCAGCTCTTTACTAAGCAGTCAGCTGCCCAAGGACTGGGTCTTCAGTTGAGGGCAATGCAGAATGTAAGTTCCCATGGTCACCATTGACCCTGAGAGCAGACAGCTACCACACGTTTCAGTCATGGTAATTCTTCAGGGACATCTGTTTGTTCTTTCTGGACTTCATCCTTTCCTGTGTACTGTTGATTAGCATATCAATCGCTGTCCGATGATAGTCAGAGAGCAGTACTATTAAGTCTCATTTCCTTATCTGACCTCTTGTGGTTCTTCCTCTTTCTCTTCTAGGTTTAAATGACTGCAACTTCAATCTTGTAATGCCTGGGAAGCATGCACATGCATGACCCTTATAGACAAATTCCCGTCTCTGTGGAACCCTCTGAGTTCAGAGGTTAAACCAGGGATTCATTTGGTCTGTAAATCTGCACAGAAAAATGCAGCCATTGATTTTACTGGTCAAAAGTCTATTTTAAATGAAATAAATCTCAATTTTAATTCTCCATTCACTTTTTGGCAGCATTCTAGTCAGAACCATCTCAATGGGTTATCTCATGCATTTGTCATAAGCTGCTAATTTGGCTTCCACTGGACCTAAACTGTTCTGTATAAGCTTGTTTTACAGTCGTTGATAATGACAAAACACCAGGATAGAATAAGCAGCCAGCATGCGCTCTATGAACAGCCAAGGATATTCCTATATCTTTGTTCCATCAGGCAAGCTGCACGTCATCTATGGCTCAAGAGAGTCCCACCAGGCCTGTCCCACATCAAACAGCGAACGGCTCTTGAATTAGGAGGATCTCCCAAACATGTAGAATGATTTTGTGCTTGCTTCACAATAATAATTGTTCAAGTAACTGCCCTCCCCTTTTGAAACTTCCTAGAAACAATGAAGTATTCGTGATGAGAGGCAGTTCTAAGGCAATAATACTGAAAGAAAATTAATCCAGAGGTAAGAACTTGCTCCAAACCCAACCCTAGTGTGCTGTTTTGCTTTGCCGGAAGCGTAGAGGGAGAGCTTCATGGTGGAAATCCTTCTTAGTTCCACCTATGTGGCACTAATGCTGTAAACCATGCTGTAAACCAAGACGTACAGAAGGTAGAGCTGCAGAGGCTCCCATAGTCAGCAACTAGTCTGAACACCAAACTGGGGAGTAGAAGAGCATTATACCTGCACCTGCATTGTTCATTGACTCTAAAGGTTGAGTTGCAACTACAGTCACTGTAAGGCTTTAGCCCGTTGGAGATCACCAAGTGTGAATTTCAGTGTGGTGTTTGTTAGATTGCTCTCTTGGTCGAGTAAAAAAAGACAACCACTTGGTCTACGTTTCCTCTAATCTGCCCAGCATTTATTTTTGATATTTGTAGTACTTTGATACTTTCTCTGCGTGTCAGTTGTTATATCTAGCTGACAGGTTAGCCACATAGTTCAGACACCCTGATGCTTTCTCTGCATGTCACTGAAAAGGCAGCACTACGCAAAAACTAAACTGGTGGTCAGGAAAGTCTGAAAGTCTTGGTGCATGTTGATGAGGAGACTGTAAAAGCTTAAGTTCTTGGTAGGAAGAGTATTGGAGTGTGTAATATATTTGAGAAACATGGTATATGTCAGAAACACCTGGTTTTGAGGCAAGTCAAAACTCAATGAATCTGTTACTTATTATTGTCTCAACGTTTGCAGGGGAAAAAAAGAATTATCCAATTGTGCTTTTCCAGCATCTCATAAAAATGTGCAAATGCCAGAACTGGAAGAGGCAACTCTTATTTTCAACACGATTGCTTCAGTGGGAATGTTGACAAAGTGTTAAGGGCTGCAGGCAAAAGCAGAAGCAAATTCTATCGTAACCATCGGATTTCATATGGAGGATGCAGTTCTAGTAAAACTGCCTCAAAGAACAAACAAAATTTTGTGAAGTATGGCCACTTGGTATAGACTGAAGACCCCAAAGCTTGCTGCAAGGAGCTGAGGATGGTTCTTGGGGTTGACTTGCTCCCCGCTGCGTGTTCACAGGCGACTGAACAAACTGTGCTTGGGAGCCTTGCTTGCACTGCTGCAAATCAAACCGATGAGCGCCAAACAAGAGTTCACAGGAGGCAAAATATCTTTCTTTGGGTCAGAGCCACTGCTTTAACAGAACTACTAAATGTTTCTGTGCTGCAGAGGGCATTGCTGAAGGGCTGGGGAGAAGGGACCTTTAGAAACTGTGGTATGTGAGAAATCCATTACTTTTCTGGAAAGCAGTGAAATCCTGTCAACGGGAGCCATAGTATGGGGCGAGTAAAGAGCTTTACAGAGAAGCCATTTAGTTGGAATGAATGAGGGCGCTAAATCTGAATCAAACCAGCTCAGCCGGAAGAGTAAGCGGATGAACAAAGATGGAGGAGGGAAAAGAGACGATCTTCCACTCCCAGCTAAGAAAGAAAAGGATCTGATGACATTCTTGCGCTGTTTCTTGAGTTACATTCTGTTCTTTGGTTCGCTGTTGTTGCTCTCCCCTTTTCCAAACTTATTCCTCTTATAATAACTCAGATTTGTCAAGTGTAATTGAAAAAGAATGACCTTTTATGGTCTCCAATGCAAACCCTTTTGCTTGTGATCGTGTAGCATAGAGTTCTGGCTCTTCTGGGCTCAATTTTGTTTTAGCACGCAAGGCACATAAATGCCTTAGCTTTAACTAGGTTCGAATGGTTCTTTAACATCTCCAAATCGCCCCCAGACTTGGTGTGATTGGCAGTCTCTGCTCAGGCCCGAATGCTGCGGCACCTCAATTCTGATCTAGAAAATAAATTCCTTGTCTGGGTGATGACCCTGCACTGTGCTCATCTCATCTCTTGCTTCCTCCCCTCCTCATTTCAGGAGCATCACCATTTTCTTGTGTCTTCTCTCTTCCACATTGCTTGGGGATGGTTGTAGTTAAGGCTAAATATGGCTGTTGATTTATGAGAACACACTATTGATTTAAACATTTTTGTCTGGTAATAGACTCAACAAGTTACTACCTAGTCTGTTCTCGGACATGATTTTACATGTGTTATTCTTTCTTTTTGGCCACGACTTCTCTAGCTAATTGCATAAAAGGCCTTGTCAGGAAAAATAAAAAATTGTTCTTTGGAGGAAAAAGAGCATTTAACTCCTTTTCAGGGTTAGAAAGGATGTGGGCTGTGTGCAGAAGAAAAGGCATGAATGATGGCTGTCCGCTCTAGGCGGAGGGACAGCAGTGTTCTGCGCAGAAAAGGGACAA